TATGTACGTGCACTTGCTGCTGAATTTAGATAGAGTTGCTAAATCGAAATCGGAATAAAGAGTTATAAGTAAAAGGTTCGAAACCAGACAAAAAAATAATCAATTAATATATTGGCAAGTATATTATAAGATATAAGATCATAATTCATATAGATAATAATGTACAAATTAATAAATCAAATCTAATCTACTTATACTTATACTCACATAAAGTCGTATAACTTTCGCTGCAGCATCACTGACATCATCGCTTCAATATATACATACACCAGTATATATATGTATATGCACTTGTATGTATGTGCACTTGCTGCTGAATTTAGATAGAGTTGCTAAATCGAAATCGGAATAAAGAGTCATAAGTAAATGGTTCGAAACCAGACAAAAAAATAATCAATTAATATATTGGCAAGTATATTATAAGATATAAGATCATAATTCATATAGATAATAATGTACAAATTAATAAATCAAATCTAATCTACTTATGCTTTTACTTATACTCACATAAAGTCGTATAACTCTCGCTGCAGCATCACTGACATCACCGTCTCAATATTTACATACACCAATATATATATATATATATATATGCACTTGTATGTATGTGCGCTTGCTGCTAAATTTAGATATCAAGACGGCTGCATACATATGTATATGTATGTAGTCTGATCTTGCTGATAAGGATTTAAGCTGCAAAACGAAAAGCACCTGGGCCCACGCTATGCTCAAATCAATATTTTGGCTAGTGTAATAAAAGATATTAAATCATAATTCATAAGTATAATAATATTATAACAAATATATCAAATCTAAGCTACTTATACTTATAGTTATACTCACATAATCAGAAGATCGTAAAACTGTTGCTCCAGCAGCACTGACATCACCGCCTCAATATATACATACACCAATATATATATTTATGCACTTGTATGTATGTGCACTTGCTGCTAAATTTGGATATCAAGACGGCTGCTTACATATATGTATGGAGTATGATCTTGCTGATAAGAAGTTAAGCTGCACCTGAAAAAACACCTGAGCCCAAACTATGCTAACAATACAATATTTTGGCTAGTGCAATATAAGAAATAAGTTCATAATTCATATATATAAAAATATTATAACAAATAAATCAAATCTAAACTACTTATACTTATACTTATACTTAAATATAATTTTCGCTGCAGCAGCACTGATATCATCGCTTCAGTATATACATACACCAATCTTCATATATACATTTGTACGTATGTGCACTTGCTGCTCAATTAAGGTAGAGTATGCTAAATCGAAATTAGAATAAAGAGTTATAAGTAAATGGTTTAAGATAAGCAAATAATCAAATATTATATTGACAACTGCAATTATACATATAGATAATGTGCAAATTAAAAAGATCAAATCTAATCTGCTTATACTTATACGTATACTCACATAAAATCGTATAACTGATACTCCAGCAGCACTTATATATATATACACTTGTATGTATGTATGCATCTTCCCAGGTGTTCAATTTGGATAGCAAGACGGCTGCATATATATATGTATATATGTAGTCTGATCTTGCTGATAAGAATTTAAGCTGCAAAACGAAAAACACCTGGGCCCAAGCTATGCTCAAATCATATATATATATATATATATATATATATTCACTTGGCTTATTAAATATAAACTCGGCTATGCCGTACTTACATGAAATCCATCGATGTGTAGCTGTAGATCTTCAGTTGAGATAAGGAGATGCACATCATTTCGATATAATACGTATATATATAACAATTTCCCACAGTGTGTGCTAAATCGAAATCGGAAAAGAGATATAAGTAAATGATTCGAAATCAGATATCAAAATATTCAATATATTGCCAAGTGCAATATAAGATATTAAATCATAATTCATATGTATAATAATATTATAACAAATAAATCAAATCTAAGCTACTTATACTTATAGTTATACTCACATAATCAGAAGATCGTAAAACTCTTGCTCCAACAGCACAGTCATCATCGCTTCAATATATACATAAACCAGTATATATATGTATATGCACTTGTATGTATGTGCGCTTGCTGCTAAATTTGGATATCAAGGCGGCTGCTTACATATATGTATGTAACCTGATCTTGCTGATAAGAAGTTGAGCTGCAAAACGAAAAACACCTGGGCCCAAACTATGCTCAAATCAATATTTTGGCTAGTGTAATATAAGATATTAAATAATAATTCATATGTATAATAATATTATAACAAATAAATCAAATCTAAACTACTTATACTTATAGTTATACTCACATAATCAGAAGATCATTAAACTGTTGCTCCAGCAGCACTACATACACCAGTATATATATGTATATGCACTTTTATGTATGTGCGCTTGCTGCTAAATTTAGATATCAAGACGGCTGCTTACATATATGTATGTAACCTGATCTTGCTGATAAGAAGTTGAGCTGCACCTGAAAAAACACCTGAACCCAAACTATGCTAACAACACATACCTGGGATATGTAATCTGTAAACTTCACAAGTTATTCACTTTTAAATACAATGTCGGATGGCTTCCAATTTTAATTATTTCACTTCTTGTAATTTTTCACCTGCGCATTAACTCAACTCTTGAAGCCAAATGATTGGCATTATTTCGACTGGGAGAGGGGAGAGTGCAGAGTAGGGAAAGCACAAAACACCGTTTCAATGCACTGAGAGCGAGCGCTTACAGCAGTTGTGCGTAAGCTCAGCTTTTAATACGGTAAAGAAGAGGAAGAGAGGCGGAGACAAGGGATGAAAATACTAGATACTAGAAAGGCTTTAGGCGCTTGCGCGACAGCATACTTTTTGGTATTTTAAAAGCGGAATGGGAAAACGAATTTAAAATCTATTAAAGTCAGCTGAATTCTGCCATGAATAATAATATCCGGAAAATTTAATTGCAGAGCATATGAATGTATTTGATTTAGCCATAAGATATTATCTTGATTTTCCCTTTTCGAATCTGTTAAAATGCAGTTAAGACGCTTCTTGGAACCTGCAGAAGCGCAGTTCCTTGATCCTCAGCTCAGTAGCCATCGGTTGTCAGCCTCCTATTCCGCCCCCTTTCTGCTCTATTTTTGCCCCTATTGCGCTCCCTTTTCATCCTATTTTCATTGCTTTTTTCTCCTTTTATCCCCGTTTTTCCTTTACCCGCTTAATAATATGTTAATTGACAGCTTAAGCCAACTGTCAGCGTTGGTTGTCTGCCATTTCAGGCACGACATGACAGCACATATGTCTCCTCGATTAGTATGTCTAGATGCTGCCCGCTTTTGTACCCAGAACCCAGCCCTTTTTTGTTAGGTGCACTCAGAAAAATAATGATAATATATAATAATACCTTATTTTACAAGTTAAATTAAAGGATTTAACTAAACCCCAAATGGTAATTAGTCTTAATCAAGCGAAGCCTTTACTTATACACCACTGACTTCGATTGAATTTGCAAGTAGATGGTCGTAGAATAAGGTAAATATACAAAATATATACTTTATCAGCGATATAAGAGTTTATAATTATACATATTTTCCAAAAAGGTTTCGTGTTAATTGCACCTCTATGCTTTGTACATTGTTTTAAATCGTAACTATGTGTTATTTTCAGTGTGAAACTACTTAAAATGCACTGGCATTGATCAAATAAAAAACAAGACAAAAACTAAAACACATTCGCGCAAAAAACAGACACTAAACAATACACAACACAGACTTACTTATATATGTGCACATGTCCATGTGTACAAGTGTCCTCCTTCGGAGACTAATTGATGCTGGGCACGTGGCGTATACGCAATATTCCATCATTCTGTCCCTGATTTGGGCATTCGGTGTTATTTATTAAAGTATGCAAATGTGATGAATGTTTGCCAAGGTCCACTCCCCCGCAGCTTCATCAGCATTTCCTGTATTGTTTCCCGCTTCCTGCTTCCCGCTGTTCATCTAATGGAATTAAATTAATTTTGCATAATTTTAACACATTCACGCAGATGATGATTCAGTGGACAGTGGTTACACAGTTCAATGAAGTTGGAAAAATTAAATATGAAGTATGAACTTATTTTATACAAATTAACATTTTTATACCCTTACAGGGGTATTTTAATTTTAGTCAGAAGCTTTTTACAATGTGAAGGAATCATTTCCGACCCTTTAAATCATATATATTCTTAATCAGCATCAAAAGGGGAATCGATCTAGCTATCTCCGGCAAAAATTAAATTTTTTCATATTTTTTCGAAAAAATATAAGGGGTTACATCGTTAAAATTGTCAAAATTTTCAAAAAAAATTATTTTGTAATATTTTTAAATTGAGCATGCAGTTTTGTTCACCTTCAAAAAACTAACACCGGACAGCTTTTCGAATTAAAATTATTGCGTTTTTAGCATAGCTATGACATTTATTAAACTATGTTTTGTTGAAATAATTGCACATAAAAATAAATAATTTATTAACTCAAATTTGATTAATTATATTAACAAAATAAAGTTGAAATTAACTTTGGAACCACTGTGTTCCACATGTCACTTTCGTTTAGTTTTTGCAAACAAAAAAGGAAAACATATCACCAAATCGCCCACACAACAACGGCCTTGACTGTCCCTTTATAATGTGTGTTGGCGGAGGGGAGGGGGATGCTCCCTCCCCCATCCATCCATAAGGTTCTATATAGATGCAGATTTATTGCCGTCTCTATGGCCACGTATCTGTATCGCCATCTGTATCTGCCAGTTCATATCTAAAATATTTATTGCGCCACTTCAATTTGTCTCTTTCAGGGGAAGATAACTCACGGAAATGCAAATCAGGCGACGGGCGTCCCAGGGGGCGTGCCAGAAGCCACACAATAGATTCGACTGAAAGCGGGGGAGAGAGCTCATTAAAAGAACCCTTACCAATCGAGGCTTGCCTCTGATATAACTGGCCTCTATAATCACACATATATTGGGAAAGATGGCCAGCCGACGGACTATGTCGATGCTATTGTTGGGCAGTCTAATTAGTGGCTGGCCAAAAGCCTCTTTGGGGGCCACCAGCAGCAATGGAAGCTACAGCTACAGCAGCGGGGGCAACACTAGCACCAATAGCTTCACATTTCCCTCGGAATTCTCGGATCACAATGCCAACGATTCCATGGAATATGATGCCGAGAGTGTGGCCCTTGAGCGCATCGTCTCCACAATAGTTCCGGTATTCTTTGGCATTATCGGATTTGCCGGACTCCTGGGCAACGGACTGGTTATACTAGGTAAGTGCACTCACAGAAAAACCGTAGCATAATTACTATAAATGCACACAATCAAAGGGATTAAAGCAGAGCGCTTGAGTTAGCTTGAAAATAAAAGGAATGAGAGCTGAGTAAACCTTGAATAGTTAAGGGATTGCAATTTATAGGGGAAACTCATCTTAAATATAATAATAATAGAACAAAGCATATGGTAATATAATTCCTGGTTCCTAATTTATCCAGTTTTTGTGAATTACAAACCCATTTTCGCTCGGTGTAGGGCTGTACTCACAACACTTTCATTAGCAACCTCTTGCAAATTATGCGTAATAATTGCAAATGAAGCCTGAACAGGAGCAGGAGAAGTGGAAAAAAGGGGCATAAAAATATAAGAACAACCTGCAGAAGGAGCTGAGCATTCAACTGAAAGCTAATTGATTTTTTATATCCCATTAAGGTACGTCGAGGGAAATGGAGAGAGGTGTAAGTGTGACTGTGAGTATGAGTGTGAGTGGGTTAAGTGTCCTTGTCTGGCTTGATGGGATCATTAAGATTGCACTTATGCAGGAATTGCACAAATTTAATAACTTTTGCTACCAAAAATCAATTGGAAAAAAAATACATTAAGTTATAAGTAAGAATAAACAAACCAAATTATTTATAAATTTAGTTAAGTGAAAAAAAACTTTAAAGAAAATAGAAAATCAATCACAACGTTTAAGTATTAACAAATTAACATAGTTTATTTATAATTAAAAATTTTATACACTTATTTATTAATTAATCTTGTTTTTCTCTAAGTCCGGACTCTTCCCACAGACTTGTAGAACTTGTCACTTTTTAATTGAATTCGAACCTTTTTCCTGCCCCAAAAAGTAGGCAATGAAAAACTGTGCAATGCGGTTAAGAGAACTGAAGGATTTTACCTCGAAGCACTTAAGCTGATGTGTGTCCTGTGGGTGTGTGTGTGTCCTTAGAGGTGTATCTGTGTGTGTCCTATCATCAGCAAAGCCTAGAAAATCTCAACAGGCAAACTCACTTTGCATGCAACCTTTTTCTGCTTCTTTAACATTTTTTGTTGTTCTTCCTTGTTGCAATGTTGCAACGTGTTGGTGTGAAATTCTCAGAGGTGTAAATGCTGCCCACGCCCCCTTAGATTGCTTTTTTGCTATGCAGCAGAAAAAATAAAAGTCAAGAGCAGCAAAAAAATGAAGGAGAAAAGTGAAAGAGCTCTGAGAAAGGCTAAAAATAATAACAAAATACAAAGGTAAAGATAAAATTTAACCCAAGACATCGGCATAAAGGTCGATATCACAGTATACAATAATAAGACACCCCTTTGCAGTAAATTTAAATGAAAAGATAAATATAAAAATTAGATTTATGACTATAATAAAGAAAATTAAATGAATAAAAGTGCATATTTTATATGTTATCCTAAATAAAATATATATCACACAGAGACTAATATTGAAACTCTTTGAAAGTTATCCAAGAAACAAATGAGTTGGCGAAAGACGTTGGGTAATAACAAACCCACAGAAAAGTGTGGGTTTCCTCTGTTATGTCTCTCTGTCTCTTTCTCTGTCACTATCTATTGCATTTTCTTTGCCGACAGGCTGTGGAAAACTTTTATTAAAGTCGCAAGTGGCATCCTATTGCCCACACTTTTCCCGAGCCTCCCTCTCAATTTTCCTTCAGATGGCACTGTGTGGGAAAACCACTTTGTCAGCTGCGTTGGTGACATTATGATAAATGATTTGCAAATGAACGTGTGGATTCTGTGGTAAATTATGAAGGCAAATATAAGAGGCACGACAGTGGTGATAGCGAAATTTCCTAGTTTGTAGAATGCAACACTGTGTTAACTAAATAAAAACCTATAAATTTTATGGTAAAACACAAAGCATTTTAATATTAAAGTTGTAGCTTATGGTTTATGGAAGAATATAAAGTCAAAATGGCATAACTCAACATTAACTTAAGAAACCCATTATTGTCATCATAACTGACATTATTATCCTTCTCGTTCAATCACATTTGTCTAATATTTTATCTGAGGGATGCTGTGCACTTTGTGTGCACTTTATGGGAAGATAAGTCAATTTCTCACCACAAACACAACCGACACATTGATAGATGAAGGCAAGAAATTATATTTCAAATTAAATCGTTTTTATATTCTTGTTATCATTGAATCAAAATTGTTTAAACTTCTAATAGAGAATTGCTGTGATGCTTTTAATACAATTATTTAGAACAGAAAAGTTCTGGCAAAGTATATTTGGTATTTGTTATACCCTTGCAGGGTATTATAACTTCAGTCAGAAGTTTGCAACGCAGTAAATGAGTCATCTCCAACCATATAAAGTTTATGTATAGTTTGATTCAAAATCTACCTTCTAATCTAATCTAATCGGAATACTATATAATATAACTGCCAGAAAAACGGTTGTAAAATGTAGAGGATCAGTAAGTATCTTTCAACATTAAGTATCTATGATCAGTAATTAACTATAATCAGTAAGTACCTATGACTAGTAAGTATCTATGACCAGTAAGTAACTATGATCAGTAATAGTAAGGTTTATAAGATTTATAATTAACTATGAGAAGTAAGTATCTATGATCAGTAATTAACTAGGATCAGTAATTAACTGTGAGCAGAAATTTTCTCTGATTAGTAAGTATCTATGATGTGGATATCATCATTACAAATTACTGTATCACTTCAAATTATAATTAAATAATGAGTTCCATGGCAATAAGGAAATTAATGGTTAAATAAATGTATAGCTAGCACAGCTGTATCTAGACCTGATCATTCCTTAAGCATCTACATATATAAATAATATAGTAGTCATGATTAAGACTTACCTCAGTGAAGGCCACGTCATTGTTTACTTCCTTCCTTCAATTAGGGTAATCATGGCATCTTCCTGGTTATCCAGATGTATTCCATTGGCCAGAGGACACGTCAGCGGTTGAAGGGTAATCATCATATCACTGCCACTATCACTTTCGATGTTAACACTAGGTACCCCTAGGACAGACTGAGCTCGCGGCGATCGAAGTGCCTCTATTTATACTTCCCGAGTCAAGAGAACAGAGAAAGTAAGAGCGAGAGAGTAAGCGAGAGGCAGAGACAGCTACAGAGAAGGAGTTAACATAGCTCTGGAGATGTACAGTGGGAGTTGGACATTCCGAATAACAGAGTGATCGAGAGTGATAGAGAGGGAGGGAGGGAGGACTGTTGATGCTAATGTTAGGAAATGTTGCAAGCTTCTGACTATAATTTTAATATTAAATATATTTTATTAATATATGAATAATAAACTTTTCGATTGTGAATATCAGGGTCCTACTGTTGATTCCTTACATGTATTGTTTTTAATAATTGCACTTATTTTTCCTTGCTCTCAGCTTAAATTTTTATAAACAAATGCAAAGCGGGGTTTTAAGTTACATTTTATTATAATGTAACAAAAGTTGGTGCCAAAGTGAGTTTTGAAATTATCGAGAGAATAAGGAATCAATATCTTTGAACAATATATTATTAAATTAGGCTGAAAACATTTGTAGGTATCCCGAATACAAATTTGCTGAATCACTTTAAAATGTAATTAAGTAATGGGATCCAGATCAATAAGAATATTAATTGGGAAACAAATGCATAGCTAGCACAGATGAATCTAGACCATGGCCTGATCTCTCCTTCAGGATCAACATATATAAATAATATAATAGTCATGATTAAGACTTACCTCGGTGAAGGCCACGTCATTGTTTACTTCCTTCCTTCAATTAGGGTAATCATGGCATCGAAGATCCCTTCCTGGTTATCCAGATGTATTCCATTGGCCAGAGGACACGTCAGCGGTTGAAGGGTAATCATCAGATCACTGCCACTATCACTTTCGATGTTAACACTAGGTACCCCTAGGACAGACTGAGCTCGCGGCGATCGAAGTGCCTCTATTTATACTTCCCGAGTCAAGAGAACAGAGAAAGTGAGAGCGAGAGAGTAAGCGAGAGGCAGAGAAACATACAGAGAAGGAGTTAACATAGCTCTGGAGATGTACAGTGGGAGTTGGACATTCCGAATAACAGAGTGATCGAGAGTGATAGAGAGGGAGGGAGGGGAGGGAGGGAGGGCTGTTGATGCAGATGTTAGGAAATGTTGCAAGCTTCTGACTATAATTTTAATATTATATATATTTTATTAATATATGAATAATAAACTTTTTGATTTTGAATATCACGCCCAACTGTTGGTTCAATCTGCAAAGGTATACAAACTTCGGCGTGCCGAAGTTAGCTTCCTTTCTTGTTTACATTTTTATTTTATAGCAAGGTATTTAATATATAAAACCTTTAAGAATTACCACTAAACCTTAAGGAGTAACTATTCTCAATATATTTATTCAACTCAATGCATATATTTAATTCAAATTAATTTGGAAATTGATTGCATTTCCTCGAATAAACCTTATTTGTTTCGGTGTAAATAATCCGACAGGCAATTCCCTAGAAGTCAAATAAACAACACGATATTTTTGGCATATGTATGCATAAGTTTTCCCAGCTCGAACACAAACTGTCAACAGCAATTTGTGTAAATCCACCGCAGAAGCACAAATTCCCAGATCCGGAATCCAAATGCTTAATTATAATTTATGTTTCCACAATATTTTTGGTTGCTTGTCACTTTGATTTGCATTAGCCTTCGTCAGGCGGCGGGAAAACTTGGTGGAGTGTCCTGGAAAATTCGCTTATAAAAATGTAATTGCCAGACAAACAGAAACGTGACAAAATTCCCAAGCACAATCCTTTTGTTCATGACTTACTAAGGTCTAGTAGAAGGGAGTTGGATTATTTCAGTATAACAAACCGATTATTATCATATAAATAATTCAGAAGCATTTGAAGTAACAAAGGATAAAACACATCCTTTGTTCGAATGGTATAAATAAATAATAATTGAGTTTAATGGGTGTAATGAATTAAATTAATAATAATTT